GCCTGCTAATGTTTATGTGTGTGTTCCTTGATTGGTTGAGTGTTCCACTTTTAAAGGCAGTAACCTTGTCTTTTATAAACCCCTTGACCCTGCTGTTTAGCCACATTGGCATCCTTTTGAATGTATACAAGCGTCCTCTAGTTTGTGGGATAAATTTGATTTGAGACTGTTATTTCTTTATATTTGCTACAGCAAACAGCATGTGGTTGTGCAAATTAATACTTAGCAGGAGTGATGTGCTCAAAAAAAGTGAGCAAAGGTATCTTCTAACAATACTGCGTATTTTGCCCAGTCATGCATTGTCACAGTTAATGTTGACTCGTGTGCCATAAATCTGTAAGAACATTCAATAAGAGATACAGTAAAGCTTTTTGCATTATTGCCTAAAATGTACTGATGCCATTCTGAGTACAGAGGTACCTCGGGTTACATACGCTTCAGGTTACATACACTTCAGGTTACATACGCTTCAGGTTACAGACTCGCTAACCCAGAAATATTACCTCGGGTTAAGAACTTTGCTTCAGGATGAGAACAGAAATTGTGCGGCAGCATCAGGAGGCCCCATTAGCTAAAGTGGTGCTTCAGGTTAAGAACAGTTTCAGGTTAAGTACAGACCTCTGGAACGAATTAAGTACTTAACCCGAGGAACCACTGTACGTGGCTACGCAAATTTATATTAGGTTGCATATTCTTCTCACTGAACTGTTGGACTAAAAGCGTGTTACATTCTCTATGTTTGTTGTGAATTACAAAAAAACTACCTTATCTAGAATTTTCCAAAAGCCCTGCAGCTGTACTGCGATGCTCAAACGTGGAGTAACGTTCAGCTTAGGAGAGTTGGCGAAAGATCAGGAAATGAAAAGCGTAGGGGCTTAAATCAGAAGTTGTTTATGGAAATCAAACCAAGCAGATTCTCAGTGTGTAGCCAGTGTGAAGATACATTTTTTTGAAAAGGAATTGTTTAAATAACACCTGAGGGTATGGTATGACCGTCAGATGACATCTGCCTTTGAAATGAGGAATGCAAAATAGAGAAAAGAAAATGTAATAGGAGAAATGAAAGTGTGGGTAAAAGGATAATTTCTCACGTCTTAAATTCCCTACTGGGGAACATACAGCTATAGATATGTGTTACTCTGGCTTATATATATATTGTAAAGAACATCTTAATTACTATTTTAAAAAACAAACAAACATTATTTCACTTTCACAAATAAAGCATGGATTTTCTGTGAGAATTAGTTTTGATGTGTTCCCGTTTATACAATTGGCATTTCCCTTTTTCAATGCCTACAAAAACTCTTTCAAAAGCAAATCTGCATACCCATGGATTGTAGTACTTTCTTTGCAACTGATTTGGAATTTCTTGTACTCGAATACGTAGAAAGTGGTCTATTTTGTATCTATGCTGATCAGCATTTATTTTTAAGTGCAATTTTTTTTAATTGGAAAAAGTGTTTAAATCAGAGGAGTATACTTTTTTTTATTCCTTTTTCAAAGGATTAAACACATTCATGAAGTGTAACCATACTGAGGGTTATTAGCAATAACGGATGGAGCCTCGGTGTACAGAGGCAGTATATCTCTGAATACCAGATGCTGGTGACAGACAGGAGGGCGAGGGTATCGCTTGTACTGCAACCAAGGCATCTGGCTGGCAGCTGTTGGAAGCAGAATGCCGGGCTCGGTGTACCTTTGACCTGGTTTAGCAAGACAATTCTTGCATTCTCAAAGCTTCCTTCAGACCGGAGGGAACCATGCGCAGGAAGTGAGATGGTCTTTGCGTCCCGTTGAAATTGGCTTCAGTAAGTAAAACTATTGTATGGGTTTAAAAATTTTAAAAAAGCAACTCATTCAAAGTATGGACACCCTTCAGTTATAAACCCCTATATTTGCATTTAAGAAAGAAACAGAAAGTCAAAGACAAGAAGACATCAGATCTCTCCCCTGAGCCTGCTTGTAACATTAAATGTGTGCTGACTAACAGTCCTGAAGGTGAAATATTTGCAAAGAAAACAAATAACCACTATTATATAATTCCCTCGGCCCTCCTGTTTGCTGTCACTGAACAAGGAAGGGCTCTTCGATGTTTTTCTTCGGTGGGTGTCCGTCTTAATTGAACAGTTCAGATAAAAAGCTTAAATATTTAGTCGGAGCAGTTACAATAGCGTTCCTCAATTCTTTGAATCCTCCAAGAGTACAGTTATACTCTGCAGACTTTAGCACTACTGATTCCATCCATAGCCAGCATAGCAGAAACTGGTTTTTTTTTTTTTTTACTTCAGGGTTCCATACTATTACCAAAATAAATATATGGGTTAGGGGAGCACCTATAGATATACCAATTACATTTTTAATATGACTTCCAAATCAAATTAACTTCTTTTTGTTAGCTGCAACCCAGTTTTACAGAAATCATTTGTTACAAAGTCTTAGATATGTCCTTGGAAGGAGTCTCATAGCTGTAGGAGGCAACAATTTATCCTTTCTCCCATTCTTCTCCACTCCATCTCAAAGCAATATTAGTACTGTACAGTCATACCTCAGGTTACAGCCGCTTCAGGTTGCATCTTTTCGGGTTGTGGACCACCAAAACCCGGAAGTACAGTGGTACCTCTGGATGCGAACAGGATCCGTTCCAGAGCCCCGTTCGCATCCTGAAGCTAATGCAACCCATGTCTGTGGGTCTCGAATTCGCTGCTTCCGTGCATGCGCATGAAGTCATTTTGAGTGTCTGCGCATGCGTGAGCGGCGAAACCCGGAAGTAACGTGCTCCGTTACTTCTGGGTCGCCGCGGAGCGCAACCCGAAAATGCTCAACCCGAAGCTACTTCAACCCGAGGTGTGACTGTACCGGAACGGGTTACTTCCGGGTTTCGGCAGTTGCGCATGTGCAGAAGCACTAAATCACGCTTTGCGCATAAGCGCCAAATCACAACCCACATGTGCAAAGACACAGGTTGCGAAAGCTGTGGGTTGCAAACGTGCATCTCGCACAGATCACGTTCGCAACCTGAGCGTCCACTGTACTAGTATCTTGAGCCAACAAATAAAGTTTTCTGACATGTCAGATGCTGGGCATTATTGTTGAGACTGTCCTGCTTCCAAGTGATATGATTCAACAGAACCTTCACATTTTATGTTGTGGAGCTGGAGCTGCTTTTTGCATAACAGGCATTCTGGAAATGTGGATCCAAAACCTAAGGTGTATCAGTTGCATGATTTCATTTACCAGACCAGTAGGCTCAGCAGAGCATCACCAGACGCATTGAGAAACGGACTTACAGCATCAACAAAGTGTGCCAGTTCTAAAAGGAAGCTTCAAAGGAGGAGGAAGAACAGAATTTCTTTGAAGCCCCTGCCAGTTCATAAAAATCACTGGAGGGGACAACATCTTCTTGAATGGTCTGCTGAAACTAGTTAGTGTACAGCACCTACGCCATTTGAGTGAGGGCCAAATATAGTTTGCAGTTAAAACTAAAGCTAGGCACTCTCGGGTCTTACTTGTTTCAATTTTCCTTTTAAAAAACATTTGCGGGGAGGGAGGAGAGAAAGATGCGCACACACAAACTGCTATAATTATAGTCAAGATGTAAAATTCTACAGCACAGTTCTAAGACTGTGATATTGTATGCCTTTCCAAATACAGTCGTACCTTGGACGTTTTGGCTTCCGAATGCCGCAAACCTGGAAGTGGGTGTTCCGGTTTGCAAACATTCTTGGGAACCCGAATGTCCAACGGAGCTTCCGATTGGCTGCAGGAGCTTCCACACTTTGGTTTTTGAACGTTTTGGAAGTCAAAGGGACTTCCAGAATGGATTCCATTTGACTTCCAAGGTACAACTGTAGTGAGAAATGGAAAGAAGCAGACTTTAATATGCATTTATGTGATAGGTAAAGGTAAAGGGGCCCCTGACCATTAGGTCCAGTCGTGACTGACTCTGGTGTTGCGGCGCTCATCTCGCTTTATTGGCCGAGGGAGCTGGTGTACAGCTTCTGGGTCATGTGGCCAGCATGACTAAGCCGCTTCTGGCGAACCAGAGCAGCGCACGGAAACGCCATTTACTTTCCCGCCAGAGCTGTACCTATTTATCTATTTGCACTTTGACATGCTTTCGAACTGCTAGGTTGGCAGAAGCAGGGACCGAGCAACAGGAGCTCACACCGTTGCGGGGATTCGAACTGCCAGCCTTCTGATTGGCAAGCCCCAGGCTCTGTGGTTTAACCCACAGCGCCACCCACGCCCCTCATTTATGTGATAGGGCTTTTTAAAAAGATTAGGCAACTTAATGAACATATGAAAGAATAGTCAAATGAAATACTCTGTTTATCTTTGGTGTATTCCTCACCCTACCATTATACATAGTAAATTGAGAGATAGACAGCACAACACAGGAAGTCGCAGTGTCTTTTCCCTCCTATCCCTGCTTTCAAATAAAGAGACCTTTTCCTAGTACTGATTTATATACTGTAGCCAGTGAGGCTGTTTGAACCAACAGGTTTCACGGCGTGCTTTCTGAACTGATGCAAGCTGCTGTATTTGAATTTGGGCTATCACATGCCCACATATGCATTTTGTGTGTTGGGAGTGGTGTTTAGTCACAGGACCCTGAGAATGCTTATCCTCAAAGAATGCTAAATGGTGCATCCAATATTTTTGTAGTTAGGCACAAGACTGCAGTGGCATTTTCTTATTATATCACTTACCAGTACTATCTTGCTTGTATGTTTCTTTTTTTAAACATATTACATATTGTTGGTCTGTAAAAAGTAACTATACGTGATCTAACTCCAAATAAAGTAGCCTTCTCTTTTCATTGTCAGTAGATTGATTTTTGTTGTTATTTTATATGCCTATATGTGGCACAATGTTTAATTTTGTCAGAGATCGAAAGCTTTCCAGCATATGCTTCCATGCAGAGGATTTAATCTCCATAATACAAGCAATAGGGGGAGGAATAATAATAATAATAATAATAATAATAATAATAATAATAATAATAATAATAATAATTTATTATTTATACTGTCAGTTTTTTAAGGTAGTGCAGAATTGAAAGTTTTCTCTCTGTATCAACGTGTAGAGCAGGCACTCCAGAACTATCCTTGAACTGAACAAAACTGCTAATATATTGGCATGATTTTAAAGTATTGCTATTCCGTAAACCACATCTAAAATTCTAGCAACATGAACACCAGCCACCGATCTTCTTTAATTTCTTATATGCTCAGATCAAGAGGGCACAGAACACCTAGTAACTTGCTGTCTTTTAAACCCTCTGCCTTTCATCTTTGGGGGAAGGTTGCTAATCATATATGTCTTGTTAAGTGTTGAAACATTATCAGCCTTATACAATACAAAAAATGTGTTATTAATTGTAGAAATCTTTCTGCAACTTCACTTCATTTGAAAATAGCTATTTGGGAGTAATGTGCATTTTAAAAATAATAATGTGGCAGGAAAAATATGCACTACTTCTAGACTGTAAAGAGACTCTGAAATATCATATAATACTGAGAAGATCTGTCAACCACTATCTCCTTCCCAGGACAGAGTGTGGGGCGGGGGATCTATCTAGTTTAGTCGAGTTCAAAATAAATGTTAATGATTTGAAAAAGGTTGTTCTTTTTTTTAAAAAAAAAAAAGGTTGAGGAGCAACTGTTTGAAATGTACACAAATCCATCTTATTCTTTAAAACTATATTAGGCTAGTTTCCAAGTTGTGCTGACATCCTACATACTGGTTTTCAGAAAGGACCGTCACCATCAATTTTTCTTTTTTAAAGGACTTTAATTCTTTCAGCATGTTCATATGGTTTTATAAAGCCCCAGATACATAGCAAATCCCCTTGGTGTTGTAAGACAAGATTGCTGTTAAAAAATGTTTAGGCTTAGTCAGCTTCTTCTCACCACCGAAGTCATGAGGGACTCTGGGAAATGGTGTTTATACTAAGCTTAAATTGATAGGGCAAGTTTAATGCAATCAGGTCAAAGGTACAACTGCTTAGCTAGCCTCATCAACCACTCAGGTTTCAGCATCGGTTTATAAGCAAAGGCCTGTAATGATAACATCTGGCTGCTAACTCATGGACCGCTTTTCTGCACGCCATGATTGAATGTAATTTGATGGTGGGGAGGAGCGAAGCTTAGGGGCATCTTAATTCTCAAATTATACGATTCCAAATAGATAAGATAGAAATGCTAGACTTTGATCGATCTCAGTATTGTGACCAGCTCTTCCCCCAACACTCCTTTTAAACAAAGTGCTTTCCTTCGCCTTGCCCATGGGCAAAGGCCTTCGGGTCGAGTAGGAAGTGTGCAGTTGCTTTTTTAAGCCTTTGTGATTTGGAGGGGAAAAACAAAAACAAAGTCTTCATTCTCCGTTTGTCTCCTTTGCACTTATCCATCAAGCGGAGCTCAGGAAGGTGCTGGTTGAAGCGCTGTGTTCGCTGCGAATTAAATAGCCAGGAATAGGATCAAGATGATGCACAGCTTGCCTCCGTACCACAGAGCGCTGCTTCAAATCCCTCAGCCTATTAAACAATAAAATATTACATAAGTGAAACCATCTCTCAAAAACTTATCCAGACTTCACTCTTACCAACAACTCATAAATGCCAAGGGCACACATATTCTTTACAACTTATGATTCCTTCTGTTATAAATCTCCATTCTATTCCCCATCAGATTTCTTAGATTTAGAAAACTAGTCCTTCTTTAAAGGAATAATTAGATGTAATCTTGTCTAATTTTGTGACTGTTTTTCCAATTCTGCTGTTATCAGTGTTCATCAACCTTCAGTCCACATGGGTTGTTGGCCTAGAGTTCCCTTCATTCCCAGGCGGCTTGACCAATTGCAGGGATGGTGTATTCCACCAACATCTGGGGACCCGAGGATGGAGAACACTGTACTATTTCATTCTCTGTTAAATTCATCAAAGCAATATATGATCAGACAAGAAAAGAGACCTTAGTTTAGTGGCCGAGCAACTACTTTGCATGCAGAAGGTTCTATCCCTGGCATCTGGGAAAGATCCTCATCTGAAGGCCTGAAGAACGTCTATCAGTCAGTATAAACAATACTGAACTAGATGGACCAATGGCTTGACTCAGCAAAAAGCAGCTTCCGATGTTGCCATGGCTGTCGATTTGCATTTCCCAAATTCTCCTCTCATTCCTCTTTTTCTTCATCATCTCATCCATCACTGCACCTAAACGCCAAGACTGACTGTCTCCAGAAGTTTAAAAATCTTGGTTGATTTTATTGATGTTAATTTATTAATGAAGCAAATCTAAATAAATTTGCATGTGAATTTAAAAAGTAGTTCTGAAGGGGAGATGCATAACGTATTTGTCTTTATATAAGGCCCACATGGCATATTGTAAGATATTCTCCTGGGATGGGGGGGCAAGTCAGCAAAGGTTATCACAGCTGTGGAGAAAGTAACCGAAACAATAAGTATATATCCCTTAAATAAAATAAACCATTTACCCAAAATTAGAGAAGCTGAAACCCAAACTCTCCAGCTTTGAATGTACAACTTCCAAAAAGATAGTTTTGGCAAATACAGTGCTCGCTACCACACACAAATTCATGTCTAATTGTCTCTTTCTGACAGCACTGAACACCTGGCATGGCTCAGCAATGTACATAGCAAAATTTTCAGCGTCTGAGGTGGTAAATGCATGTCTGAAGCCACCCAAATTTTTCTTCTTTTAATCATTAGCCCGTACTCTCCCACTTAAGTTTTATGATGTATGTGGGGGTTTTCAGTCAAAGGTTGGCGCAATTTATCCCTTTTCCTTGGGAGTGTTATTCAAGTTTTAATGCTTACATTAGCCATTTACATTTCTTCCTTCAAAGATGGGATGGGACCCTTTTAAAATAATAGTGATTATATACATTGAACTGTTCAAAGTATAAACTGCCTTTGAGGATATTAACAAAAGCTAAACTACCAACTGTTAAGTCAATTAATCATACTCTGCATTGGAGTGTTTCTTTTTTAATACTCATAGGATAATCCAAATGTATATATGTGCCTCAAGAGGTTATATTTATACACCACATGTGTAAGATATAAATGATACTGATGAAGACCATGGAAGTAAATTATAATAAGGGTATAGTTTGAACTACTTCAGTATGAATTTTTAATGTGTTTATTATAGTGCGGATTGCATTTTAGCAGAACCAAAGGAGCCAAGATTATTAACTACAACCCCTGTACAACTCTTTGAGCATATTCAGAGTTAAACATTTGGTATAAAACATAAATATAACCTTCTTTCTTTCTAATTCCAACCCCATAATAAAGTAGAATGAGAAATGGTTTGCATTGTTTCTGGGGAGGAGTGGGGAAGTGTTTTTAAACTGATAGTGCGAGCGTATTTTATCTTATTGGACAAGTGTGTACAATCTTTTATTTGGGTTGTAGAGAACAATATTGGATGGTTGAAAGGGAGCTCCTTCTTTACACTCCTTTATACTTTCCATGTGAGACAGCTGATTGAAAAAAGGCCACACATAAACATTTCCAGTACTATCTGAAAAACGTTAACATGAGCTGGTATAACTAAACAATTATTGAATCCGTATTTTAAAACACAATAATACATCAAAATTCTACAGTGAAGCTGTGGAATGTCTCCTCTTCTTTTAGGGTTGCTGCTGGGTTCCAAATGTTTATCATGGGGGAAAATGGGAAAGCAAGAAATCTGCTATCATTTGCTGGAAGCCTGGGGGCTGAATTCAATTAACAGCTAATGGAGCACTTCATAACCACCGTGATTGTCAATACAGAGGTGTGCCCCTTTGCTAGTTCTAGTTCAGACGTGCTATGATCCATTAAAGCTAAGTATCCAAGATACGAACTACATAATCTCTGCATCATGCATGTCATATTACAAACCACACTTTTCCTCTAGGCCTAAATTCAGTCGTGCCAACAGTATGCTGCAGTTAATTATGCCAGCTGTATTAATTACGTTCTAGTTACCTCAGTGGAACACAGGTTTAAAAGGAGATCCCTTCCATCCTCATTGGGTGAAATCATGCTTTTGCTGCTATATATGACATTTTGCCAAGCAGTTTGCCCAAGGTAGACAGGATTTTAAACTGGACCACCTGAATTATTTCAGCCATCATGTTTGATAATAAAAATAGAAGAAATGGCAGACCTTTAAGGAGGGTCACTTAGAGGGAAATGGCAGTTTTAAACAACTGCAGGGTTTTGAGTAAAGCAGGGGTGGAAGGCTACTGAGAATGGAGATGGAAACAGCAGATGTTTGAGTAAAGCAGGGATGGAGGAATACTGAAGGGTTAAAAAAAACCACCTAGTTTTAACCATGAAGAATAGCAGAGATGGGTACAGCAGAGATGTTAGCACCAAAAAAGCTAACACAACAGAGCCTTTCCAAACTCATTTCTTGCTGTACTCAAGAAATTGAGTTCGCTGTACTCAAATCTCTGCCATTGTTTAAAATGGCAACTTTCCCTCTCAGTAATTCTCCACCCCTGATTTACTCTTGACTTCTGATGCTGATTAAAATTGCCATTTTCATCTCAGTGTCATTCTGTCCCTGCTTTACTCAAACATCTGCTGCACTGGTGGCAGCAATAAGCAGCTCTGGCTCTCCCAGCCCTACCCATTGCCACCCCACCACTGCACTTACCTGACCTGGGGGTTCTGGATCACGGGCCCTACTGGTCAAAACGGGAGCCTCAGTGATTGCCTTCTCCCGCTGGAAACAAACTAGGACTGCTCCAAGAAAATTGAACCTGGCAAAAAGGAGCGATAGACCCTGGTGGACCGCCCCCTTACCCGCTTGTGATTGACCAAGCAGATAGCCAGTCAGGATTTTTTAAAAATTCACTTGTCACTTCCCTCTGTGGTTCCCTGGCTCTTGCTGTGGCTCCCCATTTACACATTTTTCACTTGGGGGGCCCTTAGAATATCCTGGGGGCTCCCAGGGGGCCATATGGGAAACACTGATCTAGAATGATTTGGCAGGAACTATTCAAGATGTCTCCTGCCAACCTAGCAGTTCAAAAGCATGTCAGATGTGCAAGTAGATAAATAGGTACCACTCCGGCGGGAAGGTAAACGGTGTTTCCGTGAGCTGCTCTGGTTCGCCAGAAGCGGCTTAGTCATGCTGGCCACATGACCCGGAAGCTGTACGCCGGCTCCCTCAGCCAGTAAAGCGAGATGAGCACCGCAACCCCAGAGTCGGTCACGACTGGACCTAACGGTCAGGGGTCCCTTTACTTTTACCTTTATTCAAGATGTCACACTCAGCTTCTAGAAAGAATGGTGCATACTAGTGAACAACCACTGTCACAGAAAAAGCTGGTTTCTGTTCTTGCCTTTGTAAAGTGTGTTTGTGGCTCAGTGTTTTGAAAAAGGTCCACTGACCGAGTAGGTGTAACCTGGGAGACTGAGCAATGCACTGGTTTAACTTGGATCTTCTCTCCCAGATACTCCTCCCTGTGCAGCTCAGTTGGGAATTAAAGCGCCTGTCCCTTCTCCACACCTACCAGGTACATTGAGGTCAGGCAAAAGAAATAATACTCTGTCCTAACTTGCATGAAATCCTTCACATGGCGCTACTGGCAGGAGAAAGCTAAACCTAATCCTCTCTGTTGCAGCTTCAGTGAACCCGGCCCACTTCTTTTCTCATTAAAATTAAACTCCTTTGTTTCTTGCCTGTGGATTTTCAGTCCACGTTGGTGTGTTGCAATAGTACTTAGACACCCTAGGGTGTGTGATCATTCTCTGAAAGGTCACTTCTGGGCCATCTGGGACATCCTATGTGCAATAGTATCTTACTGTATCCTAACAATGCAGTGACTGTCGTTGCGTAAATACTTAAGGGTGTATATAATGCTTTGCCTATTTTTCTGCGGAAGATTTCCTCCTGGCTTCTGAAGCTTAGATTCATCTACGTACAACAACTCCGAAGCATTTTAATTCATAATTGACTTATATCCTGTATCCCAATTTTCCTGAATGAACGTAGTCATGTCCACCTACTAATCACCTTACCTTGCCTAATAAAATCACACTAGCAGTAAAAAAACACATTAGACCCAAATGTTACCGAGAGCATAACTTGCACAAAATAATTAAAACAATTATTTTATCTCTCTTTCCAAGCAAGAGATTGTGTTTTTTCCCAAAAATTAAATGCATATTCTTTGACCAGTGATGATTAATATTTTTAATATTAAATGGGAAAGAATTATTCCATTTTTTTAAAAAGCATGAGTGTGGATATTTTCACCAAGAGCAGTACATTTCAAAGGATGGTGTAAACTTGCACACAGGGGTGCCAACTTGAATAAAATATTGGGGGCCGGGGCAGATCAGCCCTGCCCTGCATAATCGATCACATGACGTGGCACTTGCACCATTTGAACGGCAATGCCCGCCAACTATTTTATGGGGGTGGGGGGATGTTGGCTCCTGTGCTTGCACATAATGACAATTTAGCCCTTCATTTGCTTGTATATGTGTGCCTAAGGTATTTATATCCAGCATTTCAGTTTTGAGAAACTCACAAGGTGACTTCTAATCATAAAACAAATCAGTATGAAAATAATAATAATAATAATAATAATAATAATAATAATAATAATAATAATAATTTATTATTTGTACCCTGCCCATCTGGCTGGGTTTCCCCAGCCACTCTGGGCGGCTTCCATAGAAACCAAAAACCCCACTAAAATATCATACATTAAAAACTTCCCTGAACAGGGCTGCCTTAAGATGTCTTCTGAATGTCAGGTAGTTGTTTATCGTTTTGACATCTGATGGGAGGGCATTCCACAGGGCGGGCGCCACTACCGAAAAGGCCCTCTGCCTGGTTCCCTGTAGCTTTGCTTCTCGCAATGAGGGAACCGCCAGAAGGCCCTCGGCGCTGGACCTCAGCGTCCGGGGCAGAACGATGGGGGTGGAGACGCTCCTTCAGGTATACTGGACCGACGCCGTTTAGGGCTTTAAAGGTCAACACCAGCACTTTGAATTGTGCTCGGAAACGTACTGGGAGCCAATGTAGGTCTTTCAAGACCGGTGTTATGTGGTCTCGGCGGCTGCCCCCAGTCACCAGTCTAGCTGCCGCATTCTGGATTAGCTGTAGTTTCCGAGTCACCTTCATGCCATTATCAGGTTAGAGAATACAGAAATACAAAGGCAAGAGAAAACAAAATATAAACAGCAAACCTAGCAATAAAACTGCATCGCTGTTCATTGAATGTTCTGGTAATTTACGAGAAACCAGTAAGGTAAAGGGACCCCTGACAATTAAGTCCAGTCGTGAACGACTCTGGGGTTGTGGCGCTCATCTCGCTTTAAAGGCCGAGGGAGCCGGTGTTTGTCCACTTCCGCAGACAGTTTTTTCCAGGGCATGTGGCCAGCATGACTAAGCCCCTTCTGGCGAAACCAGAGCAGTGCACAGAAATGCCACTTACCTTCCCACCGGAGCGATACCTATTTATCTACTTGCACTCCAGATGTTTCTGAGACTACAATTCCCATCATCCCTGACCACTGGTCCTGTTAGCTAGGGGTGATGGAAGTTGTAGTCCAACAACATCTGGAGGGCCAAGTTTGCTTATGCCTGATTTAGCCTCTGCATTGAGAAGGGAAGGAGAATTATTGGTTTGCTTTGCTCAGGACTGGCCCACCCATGAGGCAAAGTGAGGTGACTACCTCAGGTAACAGGATTCACAGGGGCAGCAGATTATTGTTTGCATTATTATTGTTGAATTTATATACCGCCCTATACCTAGAGGTCTCAGGGCGGTTCACAGAAAAGATCAACATAAAAACCACAACATATATAATCAAAATAAAAACAACAACCCAATAACACACACACACACACACCCGATGCAGATATTTACTTCCCCCTTGTTACTGATGTAGATCTTTCTTCCCTGGTGGGGAGGGGGCGCCATTTTGTGGTTCGCCTCAAAATGTATTGGGCCAGCCTTGGCTTCATTACACCAAAGTGGAAAGTGAAATGTAATTAAAGTGAGCCATAAATGTTTTCCGTTGTGTATACAGGGATGTCTTGGGAGAAGAGATCATCAGATTGCAGCTGAAGCATAAAAAATCTGGATAGAGGCCATATTTGTAAAAGCTTTCGGATAAATGTGAATAGCTGGCAAAATCCTGCTGGGAGTTTGGCCTGAGGCCATAAAGGTATACACCAGCTGACTAAAAAGAGAGAAGTACTTTGTGTGGGAAGAATTTGGGTTCCCCTGTAATCCCTGAAACAGGACAATGGAAGCTACAGTTGCACAACACCTTTCTGGTGTCACTTAGGGTGAGGTTTGGGGTTAAGAGCTGGTGAGATTGTTCAGGCAGATAAACTGTGAGGTTAATGGTAAATGGTAAATGTTCGTATTTCTCTAGTAATTGCCTATGTGTAGTCATGGTGTATCAGCTGGTAGAAACTATTAGCTCAAATAACTCAAAATGTGGATGGCACAATGTGAAGCATTGAATTTTGGAACTGTGCACTTTGATGCTCAGTCCTGATTCTGATTCCAAGGTCCTTACAAATTCTGGAGTCTCCAGTGAGAAGTTCCTGAAATGCAATGTGAATACAGCTCGGACAAGAGAGCTGCAATTAAAACGAAAAAGTCTTATCATTTCTCCTATTGAAACCACAGTATCCTTCTTATTGTGTTGATGATGAGAATTGCTTCCTCACTGTGTCTAGGTTGCTTTATATTGGATTTTAATGTTAGCATTATTGATGCCTTCTCTTTTTTTTATCATTCATCATTGGGTTTTCTCTTTTCTACAGTAGAATAGTTTTGCTAATCGCCCTGGTAGCAATCCTTACAGTTTGTGATCCTGTACAGTTTGTGATCCTGTATTTAGTCTGCTAATTTGAATTGGAAGTAGCTGTTTCTGAATGCAAGCGGATCCCAGGTGAATATCAATATCATGCTTGAAAGCATTCCAGAATTAGCCAGTGTCATAAAACAACAAAGAAATTAGACGTTTTTATTGCAGCATGTTAAAACAGTGCTGTTATCAGTTGGATCATCATGTTACAGGGCGAGAAATGTAGCTGTCATGTAAGGGATAGATTTCCCATCATAAAACTTCCCTCCGTAAATGTCAGCACCTCACTGAGTGCCTCTTGAACTTCTAGTAAACACCAAGAGCAATCTACTGTGTGTATGACCAACCTATATTTTAGTCATGGAATTTACTCACCAGTACTATGGAAATGGGTGTTGTCCAAGACCTGGGAATCATCTGTTGTTGCACCATTGCTGAAACTGAACTGCTCAGACCATTGTGAATCCCATGTAAAAGAAAGATTTAAGCAGAATACAGTGGTACCTCGGGTTACAGATGCTTCAGGTTACAGGCGCTTCAGGTTACAGACTCCACTAACCCAGAAATAGTACCTCGGGTTAAGAACTTTCCTTCAGGAGAAGAACAGAAATCGTACGGCGGCAGCAGGAGGCCCCATTAGCTAAAGTGGTCTTCAGGTTAAGAACAGTTTCAGGTTAAGAATGGACCTCCGGAATGAATTAAATTCATAACCCGAGGTACCACTGTAAGCACTTTTAATGTGAAGTTTTGCTACCATATATGCTCAGTGTTAAAGGACAAATTCACAACCGTTTGCAATAGCCAGCTTATTTCAGTGAAACGGTCAGGTTGATGCAGACCTTCAAAAATGTTCCCTCTGCCCTTTGCTTTTTGCTGGAGTGTGTGAAATTATGAAGACTATACTCCATCTGGGTATGGGTATCATATATTTCCCTCACCACTAGATGGCTTCATGTCCAGCCCCCTACTTCCAGTATTGTGGGGAACAGGGGTACTCAGAGAGTGACTTGCAGGCCTAGACTCTTCTTTCTCTAGAAATTATTCCTTTGCAAGGCTGACACTCATTACCCACTTTCAGGTAGGTGTGCTGGGTAGAAAGTTTGGGGAATACAGAAAACACATCTTGCCTCTTAACATTCTCCTTGTAAAGAAAAAAAAATCATTTGTGGCTATTCCTCTGTTTGTGCATTTGTTGTAATTAGTAAACAACAACTTCAGATATATGAATGGTGGTCATACTTAGCTGTGCAAGTTTATTATTTAAAAAATCAGTTAGTAAGTAACAGGCTTGAGGCCATCAGAATTTTGACAAATCTGACTCCTGCTGGCTGGAGAGGTGTCAGATTTGTCATAATGGACTGATGACCAGAAAAAGTACACATATTGCTGACCAGGAGGGGATTCACAAATTAAGACTTAATGGTCCTATCAGCAAAGCTCATGGTGTCTTTCTTCCTTAGTGTATAGAAAAGTCAATGGATTTACAATATGACTCAAGTTTTCAATTCCCTTCTTAGTTTCACTTCTCAGATCTGATGTATTAGGAAAACATCTTGAAGTGCATGATACACTCCTCTTGGCATTAGTTTTATGTCAGGATTGTTCTACTACCATTTAAAAATAATAATAATTGGATTATAGGTCCTATGTGACTATGTCATTGGTATTTATTCCCTAAAGCTATGTTGCTTAGCTGTGAAAGCGTACTTTCCACAAAACAAATAAATTATTTCCACCATACTCCAAAGAGAGCTCTGGAACTTCTTTAGTGAACGCGAGTTACTATTGGACTTATAAGCAATCATTTACATGCTTGATCTTCTTCAGGTGTACTGCCAAAGAACCGTCTGCCTGCATATGTTTTTACACATCCTTTAGCTAAATGAGAATTCCAAGTGCAGAATCTAACACTCCTGAAAACTGCAGATATTTGAGTGCATATGGATTGTTCTGATTTACAGCAAAAGTGTTCCCTCCCCACCCCACACCGCCCCCGTACACATCAAGTTTTTAAAATTAAAGTTACTCTTTGTGGTAAGTGCTCTTAGATAAGATCCTCAACTATTAAGCACCATAACTGAGGAGCTGACATTACTGGAAGGCTGATTAAAGAACAAAGCCAGCCTAACTACAGTTAGTGGTCACTTGTTAAGAAACCATCTACAGATAAACAAGAGATGTTGTGTTGCTTAAGGCTTCAAACTTCTCTAAGGTTTAGGAGATATACGAGTTGCTTTTAGATGTAGTTTAAGACTTACACTTTGCATAGATGTACTGTTGTTTCCCATCCACACCAGTGAGAAGTCCTTGATGGAATGTTTCTGTGCTGTGTTTTCTGGCTCCTCCTTTCATTCACTACTCCTGCACTCCTCCAATACCTTTGTTGTTGTTGTTGTTGTTGTTGTTGTTGTTGTTGATTTATTAAAAAATGTGTATAGCACTATATCATTTTTTAAAAAAATATCAAAGCAGTTTTCAGCAATAAAACCATACAATAAAACCATTAAAAAGCCATTAAAAAGGTTCTGGGCATGCGTGCAGGTACTTCTGTACCTGTGCACAAGACTGATATTCAACTATACTTACTGAAATAATACTAAGGGAGGTATTGTGGAAGACTTCTGTATTTTAAAAAAACAGCTTTTCCCAATGAGGCAGTTGCAAGGACTAAAGGTCCCCTCATTCCCACAGCTTCCTAAATTTCCTTCTTTCCCATGCAATCTGAGACTGATGTGTTACCTGTCTTTGCTCCACACTCTTCACACCTCTTCTGGTTCTGGGAGACCATGGGGGAGGGGAGCTGGTCACAGCAGGAGCGGGAGACCCCCTGGCTTCTACAGCAGCCTGATTCATCTCTGCTTCTTGGCCTCCTTCCTCTCCTCTCCAGCCTCTGATTCTGGACTGCTGTCTGCCACAGCCTCTTCCTGCTCACTGAACCCTGTTGCCTCTTCACCTTCTGACACCTTCTCCTTGTGGGATGTAAAAACATACTGCAGTCAAATACAACATTCCTACAATGCACATGCTAGGGAATGCTTTGTATCGCTCAGGAGAAAACTTGCTAGTTCCTCCTAAGTTGGGACAGACTTCCTTTGCATGTGACTTAATGTGGGTGTGGCCTGTTCTTGGACAGAGGAGCACACAGCCTCCATGTTCTGCTCTTCTTGTTCTCCATTTTTGTGTTCCTAAGAGTTAGAAGTGACTGCTGAGTCGCAGTCACTTGAGATGATTTCTCTTATGGGATAGTTCACATACCGTATTTTTCACCCTATAGGATGCACTTTTTCCCCTCCAAAAATGAAGGGGAAATGTGTGTGCGTCCTATGGGGCGAATACAGGCTTTCGCTGAAGCCTGGAGAGCGAGAGGCTCTCGCTCTCCAGGCTTTAGGAAGCTCTGCGCAACCCTCCGGAGCCCGGCGCCAAGGAGCTGCCTACATTCCAAAGCCTTGGGCATGCTGAAGAGCGCGCCCGGGCTTCGCACAGCTGTCCGCAAGCCTGGGGAGACCGGCGCGGCTCCCTAGGCTTGCGGATAACAGGCTGTTCTGGGGGCGGGGGGCGGGGGAAGCTCGGGCTTTCCCCGCGCCAGCCCCGTGCCTGGGGGGGAAATATTTTTTTTTCTTTATTTCCCCCCCCCAAAAAAAAACTAGGTGCATCCTATAGGGCGGTGCGTCCTATGGGGCGAAAAATACGGTAGTTATATGTTGTTCTGTAAATTAAGTCTGCCTTCAGGGATCTTATTGTGAACTGGATGGTTGTAAGTAAACTAGTTTTATGTTAACTTTAATCAGATGGTTGTGTCTATTCTTTTAGGAGGGATATAAAAAGGGATCTTGCCAGGAATCCTAAATAGTGAGGCTCAGACGAGCCTGCAACTAGCTAACCACTGTGTAATTTAAAAGGGGGATTGTTTAACAACTCTGCTAAATTATAGAACTTGCTCACGCAAGTTAGGAAGGATATCATAAAATAATATATCCTCTCCTGCCTCCCTAAACATCCTCACACTCCTCCCAGGCTTCTCCCTCTACTCCCTCTGACATCTCATTGTTATCCCACCACCAACCTCCTGGCTCTGAGCCTTCTTCCCTTGAGAATCTCCCAGCTGCTGCCTCCCACCACACCAATCCAGCCAATCCATGTTAGATGCTTATTTAGCACATTCACTGCTTGTATTAATATAACCTGTATAACAGCACACCCTAATTTCCGGAGCCAGTCCTATCATTAGGCAGAGTGAGGCAAACCCCTCTAACAGCACGTACTTGCAGGGGATGGACCATTGTTCCTGAGACCCTTGCCATTCCCCACTGTTAGAGATTAGAGCTATGTGTGCCACACAACCTGACATACACCCTACTGTCTTCAGGTCAACTGAGGATGCTGTTTTGTTGCCAGTTTCAAAGTCAGACGGAACTGCCAGTCCAGTCAATTTCTGTGCATGGAATTTGGGCTGGGGGACACCTTTGCCTCAGGCAGCAGAATATCTTTGGCTGGACCTGATCACCTCCTTTATTGCCTGGGAAGTCTGAGTACATGGAGCAAAATCCTGACACAACAGGAAGCGGCACCTGAACTAACAAGAACATTAATGTAAACTTCATAGATTCTTTTGCCCCTAAACTCAGGGAACTTTGGACTTCTTGCTAAGATAGAGAAATGTCATTCCCATGTTTCACAACTCACATTACAAAGCTGAGTCAAAAATTCCCTTTTGACACTCCAGCCAAAATCCAGTGTAAAAATACACCAATGAATGGGGAACCAGGGATCTCTGTGTTAGCAATAAAAACTGTCAGTTTGATGGACACGGGTGTGGAACATATTCTGACTCCTGATCTGTCAGCACAGACCTGCTGTGAACTGGAAAAGAAAGAAGAGGCCTAATCTGCATTAATTTGCTCACAAAGAAGATACCAAATTCTTCACTTAACATGCATTGGTAGTTTCAATCAAACGGCTGCATGGAGGAACACATCTTTTTGCCCCAAGCAGTTAATTATACGATGAAGTAGCTCAGGGAACAACTTAATTGGTGTTTCTCTTTTTGTATCACTTCTCTCATCAGTCCTACAACTTTACTCCTACCTTTTTCTTTCCATCTTACTCTTTGCTTTAAAAGAAATTGCAAATGAAATAATTTTCTAAACACGTAGAAGCCCTTAGAGCAAGTGGGACGTCCCAAATGCTTTCTTCTTCTTTTCAACTGTACACTATATTTACATTGTGCTACTCAAATTTTACCAAACCGTGTGAGCTTTGAGTAAGCACTGAGGAGGAAGAGGAATAGAAGTAAGCAACTCTTGGAAGCATCAGCCACTCACTGCATACAGGGTTACAGTGTCACAAGGTGGTTCATGTTCCTAATAAAGATCTTAACTTTTTCACATTACTAAAAACATATGACTTTAATTACCAAAGTAAGCAATTCCAAAAGGTAGGTCCTACTGAAAAACAAGCTCTCTTTGCCATTCTGTTCTTTGCTGTTTACTGAGGATAACATCATGATATTAAATATCTGTCAAGGACCTCCTTTGGATCCCCCAATTGTTTTTAAAAAAACCAGTTTAGTTCTCCGTCTGTAATTCATGTTGTACCTTAAAAAATTGGCAACAAAACCACAGAATGTAATGATGGTTTCCTTCCTTATGCTTAAATGTACTCTGGTAATCTATGACCCATATTAAACATTGGTTTGGGGTTTTTCCATTGTGTGTGATACGCAATTATTTGAGTTGTTTTGTGTGGTTTCAACTTCATTATGCATAGCAGCAACAGAACTGTTTACCAAGTATTATTATTTGAAAGCTATTGTATTACCAAAACACTAAGGCCTCTTCACGACATGGTGAAAATCTGCTTATTTTGGGACATAGGTGCGTACATAGGACACTAGCTAGGCTTAGAGGCATCCATATGTCATCTTAAAGATTCCTAAACTGTGTTTTTAAAACCCATATGGTGCCAGAACTTAAATAACTTAAAAGGGTGAACATCTAAAAGTAAACTTATCACCTGAGATGAAGCGCATAGACAGTGTTTAACATTTAACAGAAAGGATTTTTTCCCCTCCCCCGGGCCAGTTCATCTTAAAGAAAACCTAAATAGAGTATGCTTCAGTGTTGCCCTTCCTTCTGGATGTAAAGGAAGCTTCGTAACTAGGGCAGGATCATTTGAAAATGACAAGGTTTGTGTGTGTGTTTTCCCTTTTCTGAAATGTTCCTTCATGTTTGCTGCAGGGTGAAATAATCAAGATTTCTTTGGTAGTCGATCAAAAACGCCATTTTCACTTGACGGTTTTTAAGCTAAGAGGTTCACACGGAGGACAGACTGACAGCAAGACAATTTTCATTTGGTGATGATGCCCTGAAAAAAAAGAAAGTTGCTTATAGGCATTTCAGCAACCCGTATCTGTGAGGGCACTCCTAACTGCTGGGAAATGTATTCATTAGATCAGTTCAGTAGCTGTAGAAGAGAGGTGAGGAACTGGTTGCGTTCCACAGTCCTTACATCCCCGCCCCTTGTGGGCCGACTTTGACAGGTGGCTGGAGTTGCCCACCTGTCACTCACCTGATGAGGTGACCTGTTTTCCTTTGCCCACGTGGTTTGAAATCAACCTGCCTGGGCAAAGGCACCAGGAGTTTGCAGGTGCCAACAATGAGCATATAATCATGGCAATCACTGTGCAAAGGCGCATTGTCTTTGCATGAAAAGATGATCAAGTGTATGGCAGCGGGGCATGACTTGACTGAAGCTGCCTCACATGGCGAGACCCAACTGGCCTAATGTGTCAGAGGCTCCCCATCACTGCTCTGGATGCACCATCTCATCTACGAAATGTAAACAGTATGGCAGAAGATTCACGCACACATGTAAATAATACAAGCAGAAGTGTTTGGAGAGCCATCTATGCAACACTGCTGCTATAATAGAAATAAGCACCCATTTCTTCCAGTGCGACATGCATTGCTTTCTTTCATTTGTCTCTGGAGCAAACAGAGGATACAAGGCAGCGGCGATCCTTTGACCTGGATGTTCCCCATAAGCGTGCCAGCTGGAATAGTAAAGGAAAGAAAATGAACAGATTGCACAGTGTGTGTGGTTGGTACACTGCTGGCTGGAAATCTGGATTCAAAATAAGGGAAACCAAAGCTCAAAAACCCTTAGACTGAAAGATAATGATGATCATCAGGGTATTGCAAGATATCTGGGTAGAACTGAGGAACAGAAAATACAGGTTGGCTTTCGCTTGAAAAAGAGAGCAAGTCTTTTATTGAGAAGAGCAGTAGAGAATATTAGTAGCCTTTGTGAATCTGACCTATGGGCCACATAAACCTTCATCCTGTCTCCAGTAGCATCCAATAAAAGCTACAACATAGCGAGAATTAAGCAGCGTACGTCAATAATGAGAGCAATCAGATCCTTGTCACTCATCCTTAGCTTCTGGCAGTCTGTGGTTTAGAAACACCCTGAACATGACTCCACATGCCGTAATAATCTTCCTAATGCTAACTGATATTCCTGTGCATCATGAATTTGTCCACCTCTCTTTGAACCCAGATACGTGCCCTTCAGATGTTAAGAGCAGCAGCCGGGCAGCTGCTTTTCTGTGGGTTCAACCCACAACGCTGCTGCGATGTTTATAAAGGCCCACCATGGTGTGGGCAGATCTCATCAAGCAGCCTGCTCCTCATGTGGTGGAGGGCTTTTAAATGCAGTACTACAAGCCCACTGTGGATTGAACCCATGAAACAAACTGATCACTCGACAGTGTAACGTTAGTCTTCACTGCGTCCTGTGGCAATAAGCCTCAGAAGGGCAGGTTAGCCAAAAGG